CCTCCCACCACGCCCCTCCTCGCCGCATCCGCACCTCCGGCCCCGCGGACCCTTGCGCCCCCAACACCAGCCTCTCCGGAATCCACAAGGCGCGATCCTCCAGGACCGCTGCATTTGCCCCGCTCTTTAACACGCGGCATGGGTTCCCCCATTTTTCCTCCTGCTGATTCTGCATATGCGCCGGCATCACAGGTATCATATGCGCCGCAATCGACACACATTCTACCCCTCGGTGGCCATGATCTGAGTGTTCCTTCATCCGGTAACGGGCACATCGCGGGGCCCAAAACGAATGGCCGTGGGGCAGGCAGCAAGTTTTATTTGGCCGCACACGCTGGCGCAAGTGGGAGCTCATCGCGGTCCAGCGGGAGCAACGACGGTGACGGACCTAGATCGCGCTCAAGTGCAAGCAGCAGCTCGAGCGATAGTTCGCGCGAGCGCAGCGAAGCCCAGAGTTCATTTGTGCATGGCCCGGAACGCGGATTGGCCAATGCACGTGGGCGAGGACGGGGGCAGATAAGAAATGGGGGGAGAAGGAGTTCATCGGAGGAGGAGGTTGAGCAGGCGCAAGCACCACCCCAGCCGCAGCCCCAGCAGCAGAAATTGCCACCGGAGAAGCTCGATCAGTCGTCACAGCCCCAAGCTCCGCAACCTCCACACACAAAGGCCCTGCAGCAACCAGCGCAACCCCAGCAGAAACCCCCCCGCGCGGTATCGGCACCGTTCCTTGGCGACATCGGTTTGGGACTGGGGGTGAGTTCTACTTCGTTCCGTTGGATGCGTTGATGCTGATCCACTTGTTTTGCAGATGACCCCGCGCACGGATGAGCAGGTCAACGGCCGACAAACCGCTTCCCCCGCCGCCATGGTGGACGTGGACGACTCCCGCTCTGTGAGCTCGCTCGCGACATCTTCGTCGCATGTCCGCATGCGCAGGGGGAAACAACCCGTGCGCCCGGCGATGCGGAGTCAACATTCACGGTCTCGATCACGCAAAGGCGGGACGCGCGTGACGGGGCACGGGAAGGAGGGAAGCGCACCGCAGTTTGGCGTGTCTGGGCTGCCGTTGCCGTTGACCAACCTTGCAGCTGCGGCTGCGCTGGTGGAGCGGAACGCGAACAGCGCGCGGCAGAAGGTCGTGGTCCAGACGACTGATGAGGAGGATGGTACCGAGGACGGCGACGAGGATGGGTGGACGGAGGACGACAGCGCAGAAGGCACGGAGAGCGTGGAGGTGGTGGAGGAGGAGGAGCCGGAGCAAGGTGACGAGGAGTGGGAGGACGAGGACAGCGGGATCGTGGAGCAGAGTGGCCCGGCCGTTAATGCGAAAGCGCCGCCGCCGTCGCTCCAGCAGCAGCAGCCGCACCCACATCTTGGCCACTCACGCGGACATAGTACTAGTGGGGCTGCGACTGCCGGTACGGATCTACGCCAGCTCCCGAACCGCCCGCACCGCTCTACTGGGCACCTCCCTTCGCTCGCTCATGGCGGGCCCACCCCGGCGAAGCACCAACACACGACGTCCGCGCAGAACGCGCGCACCTCCCGCGCGTTGAAGGCGACCATGAGCGCGACGAGCCTCTCAAGTGCAATGCTCGAGGCGCAGCGGCAACGCGAGCTGTTCGCCAAGGCCCCGCGCATCAGCTATGAAAACCTTCCCCAGCTCGCGACCGCGCGCCCCGGCGGGCTCACCCTTCTGCTTGGCGGCGGGCGACAGCCACAGTCTGGCATAGCAGAACAGTACCATCAGCAGCAGCAGCACCTTCAACAGCAGAACGGTGGGGTGCCGTCTCTGCGCTCGCGCCCGGGAGGGTTTGGCGGGCTGGGGCTGCACATGAGCTCCGCGCGTCCGCCGCCAACGGGCGGGGCGGAGCTTTCACCCATCCCCCCTACGCCAGCGACCGCGATCCAACAGCAGCAGCAACAGCAGCGACCGGCGCCAAGGCGCCAGCCGCCCCAACAGGCGACAGCTCCGTCGTCACCACAGCAGCAACCACAACCACACCCGGGGCCACCACCCCGCCGCCCGGGAATGGCTCGTGCGTTGTCGAGCAGTGCGTTACCGCCGCATTTTGGCGGTACTGGTACGAGCGGGTCACTTGGGAAGAGTAGTGTCGCGGAGCCGGTTGTTAGTGTCGGCGGTCCGAGTGTCCTGGATGGAGGCAAGGTCCCCGCTGCTGCGGTCGCGAGCGGGAGTACGACGACGCACAGCGGGAGCGCGGGCGCGGGGCGGAGCGGCGGGTACCGACCCAAAGGCCCGCCGGCGGAGATGGAGTATGACGATGACGACGAGGAATCGGACGCGGATGGGCGGGCCAAAGGCCGCGATGACGGGCAGGTATCGCAAAGCATCGCACAGGAGAGGCTACGCGTTTTCCTCTCGCGCGGCAAGCCCGGGAGTACCAACGTCACCAACGGTGTCGATGCGGCGGAGGCGGAGCGCCGCCGGTTGTACGAGCAAGCGGGCGTCGTTCCCTGGGCGGCCGCGGCGAATCAACACAATGTCGTCCCGGATTCTGTCGCACAACCGCCGCCAAACCGATCGATGTCGACTGCGCCAGTGGGATTCCCCTACAACCTCCCCGTGCCTGCACCACCGTCCACACCGCGTACGACGCGCCAGCAGATGCTGCGCAACGAGATGAGCGAAAGCTTGAGGCACAATCTTCTGTGGCAGCGCAAGCTGAGTCGGACGGACACGATTGGACCCCAGCCGCGCCGGACGAAGAGCACGGTGAATGTTCCAAGCGTGGCCGCACTCGCGGGGCAGGGCGGACGCCAGCCCGAGAAGAGTCTCGTCCGGGTGACGCCAAGGGCACCTGGGGCGGAGCGCCGCGAGACGCTGCCACCAATGGACCCGCCCGTGCCCGAGGGTGGGCCCAAGAAGAAGCTCGTGCGGAATCTCAGTTGGGCGAATACGTCGGATTACCATGCGCGCGGCTGGTAGTGTTATTATTTATCTTTCAGTTCCGTTTCCTCTAATGCATGCATGCTGCCAATATTGTACAAAATCAACCTACTCATCCATTCTCGCTTTTTGTTGTCGCTCTTTCCACCTGTATTACCATTGTTCTCTTGGGCTCTTAGCGTACCCATATAATTGGTCAATAAGAAAGTCTTTGCATAACTGACTGAGGGCTTTTTTATGAGCATGCGGCTTACTGTACTCTACTAGAGGCTTCGGGAGAAAGGTGTGCGAGCCAGGCAACCAGACGGATATCTGATCAGGAGAGACATCCACATTCAGGAACAAGAATCGGCATTTCTTCGAATATCATACAGATGCGAATAAGTATCAAGGGTGGAAAGTGTATCATCCTGCACAAAGCTCATGGTCAGACGCGAACTCGGACTGGAGTAGAGGGACAGGACGTACCAATCGACTTCCGCTTCCGCTTGCCCTTCTTGCCTGACGGCACCATCTCATATGCGTTCGGCTCTGCGGCCTCGAGCTTTAATTGCGCGACCTGCGTCTGTGGGTTTCTCTGGATGGCGGCGGCACCATCGGGATGTGGGTGCGGGTGGTGGTGATTGTGATTGTGATTACTCCCGCTCCTCGGCCGCGGCCGCGCCCGCCCGTCGTCCAGGGATGAGTCCGAGTCCTCATCGGACGAATCGTCCTCCGAGGAGGACTCGTCGAACTCTTTAGGCTTGTGGTAGATGCAGCATACTGTTCATCCCAACCCAATCAGCGTTATACTCCTCATGAATAAAAACGTAGGAGGGAGCAAGGAGCACGCACTCTTCGACGACTTCCGCCCGCACCCTTCATTGTCCACCACGTCCTCGTCCCACGCGACCCTTGCCCGGCTCCTTCGCACCCCGCCGCGCAGGTGCAGCGCGCCTACGATGGCGCTCGCGGGCACCCCGTCGGTCGCTCCGCTGCCTCCCTCTTCTGTTGGTCCTGCTGATCCATCCTCGTTCGCGGGTGTTGGCGTTATGGTGATCGTGCGCGAACCGTCCCCCGGGGCGGAGGTGCCCGTTCGGCGTTGGGGGGCGAGGTAGGCCATTATCCTGTGGTTCTTTGTCGCAGTCGGTGTACAAACGTGAACTTACGGTGATGCCATCACGGCGCTTTCCATTTCAGCGTTTGACGCGCTGAGATCGCGCTCATCTGCTCTCTGGCAAGTGGGATCCCTCCTACCTCGAGCCCGCCCTTGACCGCTGCATCGCGCGCGTCCCCACATCCATGCTCACCCAGGACTCCTTAGCCCGGGCTCCGAAGTGCGCATTCGCGCTACCCACCCACAGCGCGCGTTGACCCGGATCTCAGCACGTGTGTGCATTTGACTTCTTCTTGCTTGAATAATGACTGACTGGCGTCGACATTATCCAGCATTTCTACCGTCAATTTTTGTTGCATTGTAGGGTAGAAAACTCAAGAGTTAGGCTTGAACAGGTAGTCGAACGAACCATGAGCATTCACTGATATAAGCTACATTTGAACACAGCGGTGTCAGGCAAGGGTATAACTAACCGACATCCTCTAGGCCAGCCCGATCTGATTCGGAAGTCAACGGTGCTGGAGAAGTTTCCTTCATGATGCGGGACAGTGACAAGGTGCACGGTTTAGTTCGTCTTGAAGAGGAGGAAGCGGTGGAGGCGGAGAAGCCCGAATCTGTGTGTCGTGCCAAGAACCGGTAGAGCTGATGTGGGTGTCAAGAAATACTTGAAGTTCCGCTAAGCTCGAGGTCTCGATGGCTTCTCGACGGTCACCGGTGGTATTGGCTCACAGGGAGGTAGTATCTCCGAAGAAATAGTTGAAATCACTTGCCGAGCTCGTGGATTAGCTTGACCCGCTCGTGGAGGTCTAGAGATCCAAACCACCTTCGGGATTGGGCACAGGAAGGTCTCTGATATTCCCTCTTTATCCTCTCTTTCCGCTTTTTTTCCTGACTTGAAAACTTGATTCTTTCGCCGTCATCACAAACTTGAATCTTGCATGAACTCTTCCTTTCGTGTCTCTGCACACATTTCTGAGTTGCACAAGACTGAGTTGTGGTTGGATGGCCGAGTGGTCTAAGGCGCTAGAATCAGGTGTTTCTTTATCTAGTCCTCCGGGGCGTGGGTTCGAATCCCACTCCAATCAATTGCTTTTGTTTTTGTTTTTTGGACAGTGTGAGCGCTGTCGGACTCATGCGGGTGATGTGTCAAACACAGTCCGACGAGCTAGACTAGTGGGCAAAGTGGTGAAGACCAAGACTTTGGTCTAGGCTCCAAGTCACAGTGTTAGGATTACATATACCCCAAACCAAAGAACAAAGTGAAAGGACCAAAAGCAGTAAAATCTAAAAGTGCGTCTTTATTCCCTGACTGTTTGTGCCTGTGGGCTAATTCTATCATTGAGAAGCTGCTGATTTAGAGAGAGATGAAATTGAGGCTGTCTCTGAGCCTGTGACATTGCCAAGTACATCTTCTCAGCCTGATGTCAGAAATTTGTGACAGATTGACAGAAATCCTCCTCATGATCCTGGCGGCTGCGACCAACAGAAACCAGTGTGTCCTGATAACACCCACGTTCTCATTTGAGGATGCTCTTGAGATAATCCATGAAACCATTGGCTGTGTTGGTGTTGGGCACAAACTCACCCTAGCATACAAGTTCTCAACTGCTAAACAGACTGCCATGACGATCAGTCTTTGTAACAATGTGGACTGGGAGGGCCTGGGCACTGACACCATTGCAAAGATGAAAACAAAGAAGGATATTAGCATGGAAATTTTTGTGCTTCCCGAAAATGTGAGATTTTTTATTTTCTGTCCTCTAATTAGCATGCATAACATGTGTTTTTGTGTAGATCTTTTTGCAAACCTCTAGATAGGTGTGCTGTGAACCTCTGGGTCATTTTATTTCCCCATTTGACCCAAATTTCGTGGAGGTAAAGTGCATTCTGAACTGGACAAAAGTGCCCTCGGAAGAGGAAGGAAGGCCAGTGAAAAAATATATTGACACTTTTAGCTCTATGACAATATATTGTGCACTCATATGTAGCCTCTCCCAAGAACTTACTTTGTTTGGACAAAATTTGAGCTTGGTAACGGGATTCAATGGTCGGAAGAGGCCAATATGGTACAGAGTGAAAAATAAAATTATTTCACTGATATTTTTCTATCGCTAATAGCGTATGAATTAGACCGAATTATTTAGCTAAGTTTCAGCTTGGTTGGTGAAGATCCCGCTGAGTTATGGGCAAATCGGCCGTGCAAATAAAAAATGGCCCAAAATGGCTACTTTCTGATTTGTGCCTTCAGTACTGCCAATTGCTGTAACATCTATCCTATGTTGACTATCTGCTTGTGACGGTGTATGGACTATAGACACAGCTGAGAGCCACTGTGAGATACAATGACAACTTACTGTACATTTATATATTCATTAGTTCACAATAGGTAGATGATCCGAGATCATTACTTACCTAATTTTATCTTATTTTGTTGCAACCTTTATATTGTGAAGCCTGAGATCCACCAAGGCGAACCACCTCAATGTGTTAGACCCCCTGTATGGCTGAGCACCTGTATAACTGCTCCACGGCCCCCACATTACAGGGGTCTGTCTCTAGCTTCACAACCAGGGACAACACAACAGCAGGAGCGCTCCATAGCACCTCCTGCCCTCTCAGCTGCACCAGACCCAATGTCTGTGCGTGCTTCACCTCCAGCCTGGCGAAGCCTCAAAGACCTGCATCACAATAGAGCCCACTGCGAGGGGCTTCACCATGGCTAGAGAAGTGATAGTGGGCATGAGCACTCAGCTCTGGAAGAGAGCAAACAGCTATTGCCTGCTTCGGGGAGCAGGGAGGCACTGGGTACCCCCCACTGTTCTCGTCACTACAAGCATGATGGGAGAGGTACGAGGTTATGCCCTGCCTGTTGGGAATGAGGCACTTGGGAAGTGCTCAGCCTTATGGCGAGCACTGAGGTGCCCCAGTCCCCCTCCCAGCACAATAACAGCCCTCTACCTGGGTGGTAGCATAGCCGTAAAGGGAGCTGAGGTCACACCGCTCAAGGAGTACGGACTTGTATTCCTGAGCTTTATTTGCTGATTGGCCTTGAAGGTCTGATCACGTGTAGGCCATGTGCTGGCCATACTCTTCAGATCTTCAAGTCCTTCTTCTTCTGTAGCAGGAGTAGCAGAGGGCAGGGTTTCAGTTGCTGTGCCGTGCAGGGCATGAGTGCACATGGGAACACCTTCAGGGTTGTACAGATGGGGTGATTTGCCACCAAGGAAACCTAGTCGATATCACAGGGATGGGAGGATAGAGCGCATATATTGCTGCTCACCATCCCCTCCCTCCTTCCTTGACCTTCACTTGCATGTCTCAGAGGCCCAAAACTTCTAAAGGACCTTATGATCCCGTGTTTGACTACCAGAACCTGAACCCTATCATCAACTGAGCTGCCTCTACTCGACAAGCTACTCATATGGAGATGGTGGCCTTGACGAGTGAACCCTCGGTCTCCACTTCCAGTCCCGGCCCTTCCTTTTGTCGTGGACCCTCGAGCCACCCAAAAGTGCCCAATGTGACTGGCTCCATTCCTGTGAAACCTCCAGCAGCTGCTCACTCTTCAGTTCTAGCACCTTTAGCTGCTCAATTGGGCCTCCAAACTCCTACGGTGGCTTCTGTCGCTAAAGGCACAGCTGCCCTGCTTTGAAGAACACCCCCTTTGGTGGCACTAACCCATGTATGCCCTCCCATATGGCTGAAGGGGGGAAGCGAGGACCACTTCCCCGTCTCAATTCACGCTAGGAACAGAGAAAACCTGATCCGAGCACACTGCTTCAGTAGCTGCACTGTGTCTGGAGCTCCCCCCTCCAGTGGGAGGAACTGCAGCTCTCCCTGGGATGAGTACATCCCCCTCGCTGATACCATCAGAGAATGCCCAACACTCCTCCACAGAGCCTTCTGAGGAGTCTGATCTTGGCCCCTTCAGTACAGGGAACGAGACAGAGTTGGGGTGTGTGGAAAGCAATGAAAGTATCATTACAGCTCTCAAGTTCTCAGAGCATTCCGAGACCAGAATCTTTAGTGGATTGGCGTGTTTGCTAGCCGTATTTCAGGAACCCTTGATGACTTTGGTGGCACTGAAACACCATAACAAGAGTGCATGGCATCTAGTGCTATTTTGCGATTTCCCAAGACCAGTATTATACAACAGGAAAGCACTAGCACTTCTGATGTGTTAATACTAGCACTCAGGACTCTGGCTAGGTGATATAAAGGAAAACTGGAGTGAGCCCAAGCTGCAGGAAAGCACTAGCACTTCTGATGTGATACTACTAGCACTCAGGACTCCGGCTAGGTGATATACAGGAGAACTGGAGTGAGCCCAAGCTGCCGGTTGTAGCACCAGATACAACTAGTGGGACACGCTAGGATGGTCTGGAGGCACAAACCATGGGGAAATAACCATAAGCCTAAACAGCCAAGGTGCTAGCACCTAGGAAGTGAGACACAGGAGAGTGGTACTGCAAGAGCACTAGCAGACAGTGCGAGTGGCAAGTCCAGAGTCTGAAGGGTAATAAACCATGCACTAGCAGCCTTCTAACTGAGGTGTTTGTATGTGGTGCCCAACTAGTGATCAACCCAAGACCTGAAACACAGAGGCGAGCACGTGACTGTTGTGATGCGGTTGTAGGTCACGGATGGAGACAAGTAGACCAGTAGAGGAATAGCTAGCAGGCTATTGGTGCAGATGTGTGGGTCACCACTAATGCAGTAACAGATAAATGGACTGCTAGCCAGTGCTCTGACCTGTGCTAGATGACTCCAGATGACAGATTCAACTCTGTTTCGTTAGGATAGAGGTTCCGGCAGCAGGTGACAGGCTGAAGAATCACTCATGATACCCATAAATGGATGCTAGCAGATCAGTGTAGCTGTTCTGCTTGGCATAGACCCATTATAAAACCAAACAGCAGTCGTTTCATTGGCTGTTGTATCCAATCACATCATTTTCACCCATTTCTATTATTCATTCTGTTTATCACATCATGGACCTCACTAGTATAAAAAGGGAACTTCAGATTATTACACCCCGACTTTGTACGAAGTTGGTGCAGGTGGTCTCAGGTTGCTAGTGGAGATCTTGGACAATGCAACAAATGTCAGCAACGACCTCTGGGTCGGATAAATTGTCCAAGATCTCTACTAGCAACCTGAGACCACCTGCACCAACTTCGTACAGACAAGAACCCCAACCAGGATAAACTCGATAGACACTAGTAACTCGTGTATTCCCCAAGCAGTAGGACCAACCATATGGTGTCTTTTCTAGGAGGCTGTATGTTGTAGGTCGGGATGTGAGGTGGAACCCGGAACAAGTCGAGGAGGGTGTGATATCCACTCAGGTATACCGGGGCGTGGATATAACCTATAGTACAATGTGAAGGAAGCAGGGCAGGGTGGAGACAATGCCTATGTCAAGCCAAGGTAGAAGCCTGAGATTACACTGGGGGCAAAGACCGATGCATGTGGAGTACGAGTGTGTTACACGCATGTGCTCTGCAAGTAGTCACAGGCCAAACAAAGCTGATGTCACAGATCTACAATCATCCTTTACTAGACAGAGGAGGGACAAAGAATAGATAAAGGGCAGGACAAGATTCCCCACACCTGGGAAACCTCTCCTCCTTTGTCTAGTAAAGGATGATTGTCCAAATGTCACACCCCTTTTGTTTTGTAGATCGTGAGTTGCCCTGCATATGCATGTAACACATGCAGCTGTTGCATGTCTTGGTTCTTGCCCCTAGTGTTAGACGAGGTAGAATCTACTGTACATAGAGATTCTACTGAGCTTATATAGGCTTCAAAATAAATTAAGGTGATTGCAGTCCATCACAATCAGGTCCAGTACCTCAGCATTAAGGAGTGTCAATGCTGATACTCCTGTGCTCCTCTGTGTTGGTTTCCATGTCCCCTGAGGACTAGGGGACCCGATGTTTGGGTTTCCTAGTCCCTATCATTGTCGTCTCCAGTGGTTCAAACTGATTGAGTCAATAGTTGAAACCCCAATCGGTTTGCAACCAGTCATGTACTTTGTGTATGCTCCTGTGTCAGTCATGGCGTGTCCGGGGTCTAGGATCTG